TTATCTTCAAACAGGGAAATAAAGATCATTTTGTGGACAAGAAAATAAAGTATTAAATCTGTTAAATTTGTATAAAAAACTAATTGTCTAGAGATATGTAGGAAAAACACCTACCACTTGATTGAATTGAACTGTATGTGGTTGTGTTTTTATATGCAAGGGGTAATGCTGTCTAGCTAGTGTACTGTACATAAATAATAGCAAGCACTTTCCCTGAAAGATATATGAACCAAATTAAAGATAAATATCACATGATCTCACTCATTTATGGGATATAATGAACAATATATGCAGGACGTATATGCATGCATATAAGCCTAACCAATGGACACAGACACCAGAGGGGTGAGGGCATGAGTGGGGATGGGGTGGGGGGACAATGGAGTGATAAGGACACATATGTAATACCTTAATCAATAAAGAAAAAAAAGCATTTTGAAAATAGAAAGCTCATTACCCACAATGCCACTACAGTAACAAAGCTATCTTGGACTTTCTATAGAGGCTTCTGATGTTTGCTTATAGTACCATCCGTATTTCACATCTCTGTGATCATAGTTCATATATAGTTAGTCATTTCTAGGCTAACTTAATGATTAGTTTTCTGAAGCATATCACTGTGAGCAAAAGGATATAGACCAATGACTATTGGGCTCTCACTGCTAAGGTTCTATCCTGGAAAGAGTGATTGGCAAAGGGGTGTTGGCGAGGGCAGAAGCACCCTCTATATTCCTGTCTGAGAATAGAGGAAAAGCTATGCTGTCTGTATTTTTATTTAAAAAGTGGTACATTTACTTATTAAGCACATTTACTAAGAATTATTATATTCTGGGCATCATCTCAAATGCTGGGTATAGCGATTCCTGCCTTTATGAAGATATAATCTAGTGGAACATAAAGACAGCGTGAAATAGTAGTGGAGGTATTCAGGGGATAATGGGGGGCGTGGCAGGTGGTCTGGCTGCAAGGACCATCAAAAAGATCAGTGAGAAAAGCCAGCCAAGACCTGAGGTTTGAGAAGCAGGGGGGCTAAGGTGGCAGATAGGCAATTAGAATGATATTTTTGAATGCTGTTTGGAGAATGGATTAAAAGAACAAACATGAAAATAACAGACAATTTTAGAGGGAGAAGAGATGTAACCTGGACTAAGGCAATTCACAGCAGAAGGGGAGAATATTTAGAAGGTAGAATCCAGAGAAATTACAGAAAGCAGAAGGAAGGAAAAATTATTCATATGACACTACAAAAAACAAGCAGTATGATTCTCATCAGATATGTATATATGTATATATATTTATATACTAGTGACCCGGTCATGAATTCATGCACATTAAAAGGAAATTAATTAGAAGGTGGCTGGCAGGGCAGGACTGGGCAAGACGGGCTGGACACACCCTGGAGCCAACCTCCGGTGGTCCCGTCCCTCCCCAGCATCTCTGGAGTGAGCCGGGTCCCTCCAGCATCTGGGGTCCCTCAGCCTGGTCTGCGGAGATGAGGCCGAAACTGGCTCTCTGACATCCCCCGAGGGGTCCCGGCATACGAGAGGGCACTCTGCAAAGTTGCTGTCATACAGGGTGTGGAACACAAATGCAAGTGTGCAGTAAACCAGATTAGGGGCCGACAGTGCCCCAGCAACAACATAACCCACAGCCGAAGGTGGAATCTCGTGGCCCTGTGAGGAATCGGGCTCCCTTCTCTCTGATTTTCAGGGTGCATCACTCAAGAACCGCCACTGCCAATTCACTGCAGGTCGGCAGCTCCTGCATTGAGCATCTGCCCCCTGGTGGTCAGTGCGCATCATAGTGGTTGGTTGGATGGTTGGACATTTAACATATTAACTTTTTATATATATACTAGATGCCTGTTGCACGAAGTGATTTGTGCAATAGGCCTTCCCTTCCCTTGGCTGCTGGCACCAGTTTTCCTCTGGCACCTGGGACCCAGGCCTTTGCTCTGGCTGGGCTCCGGCCAGAGGCCCCCCGACCCCCTGGACCCAGCAGTCAGGCTTCGCGGCTCTGCTGATCCTGGGGCGTGAGGCCTCTCGGCTCCACTGATCTGGGGGCATGAGGCCTTCCGGCTCTGCTGATCCTGGGGCTGTGAGGCCTCGCTGCTCGGCTGGCTTTGGGTACGTTTGGCTTCGCTCCACCGCTTGGAGCCTATGTATGCAAATTAACTGCCATCTTTGTTGGTGGTTAATTTGCATATCGCCCTGATTAGCCAATGGGAAGCGTAGCGAAGGTATGGTCAATTACCCTTTTTGTCGTCTTTTATTA